GGGGAAGCAACCAAATAATTATAAATGTAAAATTTCAACTAAGTTTCATGATGCTCTGGGAACACGGCTTAGAGTCGCAGGAAGGTTTCCCTAAGAAAGTAACATCTGACTGAGACTGACGAATAGGTGTTAATTAGGCAAAGGAAGCACTTCAGCGTTTCAGATAGAAGAAGGTCATGCCCAGCAGCAGGAAGGAACATGTTTACAAATGACTAAGAAGATGTTTGCTTGGAGCTCAGAGAAGGAAGAACAGTAGGAGATAAGGTTGGAGAGAAAGGCAGGGGCCAGATCAACTTGGATCTTATTAAGCCATGTAAAAAATTTTGGTTTACTTTAAGACCCACAGGAAGCCACTGAAGTATTGTAAATTGGATTGAGGGGGTGGGGGAGACATGGGAGACATGGCAGTTTTGTTTAGAAAGACCTATTCTAGCTGCAGGGTGAATAAACTGGAAGAGTCTATGTGGATGCAGGGAGGTCAGTTAGGCAGTTGCTGTATCAGGTGGGTCCCTTTGGGGTCTCCATTGGTATGCAGGATGGATATTGTCTGGGTGTTGTGCACCAGCCTCCAGGGTGAATTCCACAAAGCTGCATAGCAGGGGCTAAATAATGGGCTTTATTGGGGAAAATAAAAATGTATAGGGCCAGGACAGCAAGAAAAAAGGCAAAGCCCCTCAATCCTCCTGTCATCCCACGGAGAGGCAAGCCAAGGGCCAGAGTACTGTTTGGTCTCAGTACGGAGCACATATCTGCCTTCTAGTCCCTCTTTTTATGGGGCAAGCGTGAAGAAGCAGTCTTGTCAATGGAGGAATGTACAAGCCACTGAGCAACAGACAGTTTGGATTTGGGGTGAATGCTTTGTAGAAATTGTCTGGGAATGTCAGCTGCCCATGTAATGTCACCATCTCCACTGCTAGGGTAAAGAAGACACTGTTTCCATGGGACTCGAGTTTGGGAGCAGTCCCTTTCCCCAGGAGAAGGGGGAAGTCGTAGCCACGCCAGCCTGTTCACCAGGCAATCCAGAATAAGGTCATAGTATAATAGCCCTGCTCGCTGTACTGCAGGGGCCACTGCAGTGTCTAGGCAGGGGTTGGCAAACCTTTTCTGTAAAGGGCCAGATGAAAAATAGTTTTGGCTTTGCAAGCCTCTCTTGTCCCAACCACTCAATTCTGCTCTTGTATCATAAAAGCAGTCATAGACAACATGTAAACAAATGGACGTGTCTGTGTTCCAGTAAAACTCTATTCATGGGGCGACTTGGGTGGCTCAGTTGGTTTAGTGTCCAACTCTTGATTTTGGCTCAGGTCATGATTCCAGGGTCATGAGATCGAGTCCTGTGTCAGAGTCCATGCTGAGCATGAAGCCTGCTTGGGATTATCCCCCACTCTCTTTCTCTCCCCCCGGTCAATCTCCCCGCTTTGTGTGCTCTCTCTCTAAAAAACAACACCCCCCTCCAAAACTGTATTTACACAAAAAGTTGACAGTGCACAATTTGGCCATCATTTGCTAATCCCTGGCCTAGGCAAAAGATCATGGTAATTTGAAGCAGGGAGATGGCAGCGGAGACAAAGTATTTCAGAAATGTTTAAAGATAAAATATGTAGGACTTGGAGAATATGGGAAAGGCAAGGAACAGGGACATGTCAAGGAACTCATTCATCCATTCTACAGTATTGACTAAGGTCTGTGGGGATGGGGGGAGGCATTCTGCTAGCAGTAGGGATACAACCAGTAAAAAAAAAAAAAAAAAGTTCCCTGCCCTTATTTAGCTTATATTAAATAGGGGAATCAATAAATAGGTGGTGGTAATTACTAAGAATATTTAAGTAGCCATAGTGACAGGAGTTGAATGTGCTAGTTTAGAAAGGGTGGTCAGGGAAGGCTTCTTATGGAAGAAATACTCACCCATTGTTTTCCATCCCTGATCCTTCTCCCCTTCCATCCATTATTTCTGTGATTTCACTCTGCTGGTTCTCCTAGCTCTCTGGCCAAGCTCTCTCAGGCTCCCTTGAGGGCTGTTTGCTTTCTTCTTTTCTTTCCTTTTTCTCTTTCTTTCTTTCTTTCTTTTTCTTTCTTTCTTTCTTTTGTGTTTATTTATTTGAAAGAAGAGAGAGTACAAGCAAGGGAGGGACAGAGAGAGAGGGAGAGAGAGAATCCCAAGCAGGCTCTGCGCTGTCATCACAGAGCTCTACATGGGGCTAGATCTCACGACCATGAGATCATGACCTGAGCCGCAATCAAGAGTCATACGCTGAAATGACTGAGTCACCCAGGCACCCCTGCTCCGTGCTTGATACTGTGCTCAGCTGCAACCTCTTCTCACTTGATACTCTTCCTGACAATTCCAGCGACTCCCTGACTTCAGGCACAACCCAAACACAGGTCTCTGTTCAACCTCAGTCGCACACACCAAACACGTGCTGGATGTCCTCAGCCACTGTCCTCAAGTCTGGAAAGTTAAGAAAGGAATACATTTTTCTTGTCTTCGTTCCAAATTCCCATCACAATCTACCCAGTTGTACAAGTCAGAAACCAGGGACTCTTGCTAGACTCCTCCTATCCCTTCCCTCCACATCCCATCAGTCAAGTCCATCTGCTGCCATCTCCCTTCCGGCTGTCCTCCTCCCTGTATCAGCAGCAGTCTCACTGGAACACATGCAATTACCACTAATACCAAGATTTAATTTTTTGAATAGGTAACACATTTATATTCTCAAGCGAAAAAGGGCTTTATGGGAAAAGTCCTCCACCCATCTCCCAGACACCCAGTTCATCTTCCCAGAGGCAACTAATGTTATTCACTTTTTTATATATATCTTTCCAGGAATATTTTATACAAAAATGTGTATTTCTACATTCCAACCCTTTTTTGTCATCTAAATTGTAGCACAGCATAGACAGTGTTCTAATTGTTTTTCATGTAATTTATCTTTCAGATCTATCTTTTCAGTACATAAAGAGCTTTACTGTTCCCATTTCAGGTCTGAATAGCATTCCTTTTCATAAATGCAACTATTTAAGCAAACCCATTTGTTTCCAATCACTTGTTATACCTTGTATTTCATAACTTTGCCTAATCATTTATAATCATTTATAAGATAAATTCTTAGAAGTAGCATTGCTATGTCCAAGGATTTCTAATTTTGATAGACACAACGGCTTGTTGTTTTTCTTTTAACAGGTATACAAGCACATGGATTTCAGAATCAAATAATTCTCTCAGGTTTGTTATTAAAAAAAAAAAACTAAATAGACATCATTTTCAAAGGCACCTCTGTTAGGTTTTTTGTTTTGTTTTTAATTTACCCCCATGACTAGGTAACAAGCTGCTTCAGTAATTCTCATGAGTTTTAGCATTATCCATTGACCCTACACTACGGAGATGAGGATTTGGCCTACCTATCCAGTCCTTATTACACACTCGCATTCATCCCCACGCACATCTTTTTTTTTTTTTTTTTTTTTTTTTTTTTTTTTTTTTTTTTTGAGCGACAGTGCCCGGCGCGCCTGTGAAAAGGGGAGGGGCAGAGAGTGGCGTACAGAGGCTCCGAAGCGGTCTCTGCACACCCAGCAAAGAGCCCAATGCGGAGCCCGAACTCACGAACCCAACTGCTTGTTAACGCACACCTTTTCCAAGCCTTTAAGGGCTTTCAGGCGCCAAGGAGCCGCTAATTTGCCAGCATTTCCTCTCAGTTGTGACGCTCCACGCCACGTGAGGTCGCTAAGCCCCCGGAAGCTGGCGGGCCGGGGGGCGTTCCCCCTCCAATCCCCGCCTCCTGCGCCTTGCCTGCGCTCCGGTCTCTTTGGCTAGGCCAGAAAAGAGGCGGGACTCTGTTATCCGAGGGCAGTTTCCCGCCGGACCGAAAAGCCGAGAGCACCTAGTGTCGCGGGAGCAGTGCTTTGGTCCCCTGCTCCCGCGACATGGCCTTCAACTTTGGGGCTCCCTCGGGCACCTCTGGCACCGCTGCAGCCACCGCGGCCCCCGCGGGTAAGTGATCCTCCCAGACCTTCTCCCGGGGAGAAAGGGAGGCCTCTGGTCAGCCCCCTCGGTCCGAGACTCTCCAGTCCGGCGAACCTGGGGTCTCTTGGCCACTTGGAGACTTTAGGTGCCTGGGAAAAGGGCGGGCTGCGGCAGAGCGGGCCCAGGCGGCTCCTGAGGAGGCCGCTACGGAACTTGAGGCCCAGCCTGTGGCTTCCACGCCGTGCGTGGATCCCTGCAGTGCCCTGTCCTCCTAGGGTTCGCTTCCCGCCGCCGGCGAGTCGGACTCGGAGAGACTGGAGGGCAGCTCCTCTTTTCCCATTGCCGGAGACCCGCCCTGCCCTCCCCACCTCAGCCTCCCGGACCCGCGAGAATCCCTGCTTAGCTCCCGCTGCTGGGCTTGGTGAGGTTAGGGCTAGGGACCCCGGGGCGGTGCCCTGCGGCTTCTTTGGTCCTGGCCCCTTTGGTCCTTGCTGCGGGACTTCACGCTCCTGCTCCTTCCTCCTGTCCCCACCTCCTCCGCTTTCTTAACTCGTTTGGAGCTAAGTCAAGGTTTGTCTTTGCTCACTTCTGTGAAACCTGCTGACTCTTCTAATCCTCTTGCTTTCTTTTCTTTTTCTTCTTTCCCATTTTAAAATTTTGTTTCTTTGCCTACACGCTTATCAGGATTTGGTGGGCTTGAGACTGCCAACTCCACCGCCAGTGGGTTTAATTTTGGGGGTTTCGGATTAACTGCTAATCCTGCAGTGAACTTTAATATTGGCAATTTCGGTGTTTCTACTACCTCGGCGACTCCGTTCAATTTTGGTAACAGTCTGGCAAGTGCAGGTAGATACTGCGGGTCGTATGTGTAACGAATGTTGGGAGCCGGAGTCCAAGAATATTTTGTGGTTCCTAGTTTGGGAAAGAACACTGGCTTGCCTAATGAGGAAAGGAAATTCACTTTCTAGTGTGGAATCAAAAACATTTGTATCCAGTTTTGACTGCCTTAAAACATTCGGTTTTAGGAAGTCTTGCAAGTTATAATGTTCCTTTTTTAAGCTTGCATTTAATTAAACAGAATATACCTTCCAAGTGATGAAAATTTCGAATGGATTATTATTTTGAGTAGATTATGTTTTCCAAATTATTACGTATCTCTTCCAAAATAAAAGCTCAGCAGTCAGGCTCGTTTTTCTGGGATTCTTGGACTCCTGCAGTCATTTTTTTTTTTTTTCATTTTTCCTGCATCTTTCATTGGAATTTCATTTGATTGTCCTTGTGTTTCCCAAGAGAAACAAGTCTTATACGAACAGCAGTAACTTGCCTTGTTTTTTATGTTGTGTAACAACAATAATGTATTTCTTTGGTCAACCCCAGATTAGGACACATTTCTATAAGATTTGTAGTTATGGAAAGAGCCCCCAATTTTTTACTGGATTTTTTGAGAAATGATCAGAGCAATTTATTGTCAAGTAGCATTGAGTTCAAGTAGGTAGGCTAGACATATTTGCATTCAAAGAGATAATTAGGAAGATTTTAGTGTCTATGTGGATTGAAGCTCCTTGGAAATTTGCAAAACACAAACTATAATGTGTGTATATGTGTATATAAATTTAAAATAGGTCTATGTGTCCTTTACATACAGTCACCCTATAGAATAGTCTTGTTCCTCTGCTGCTCGTATATGAATTTCTTGTCCATATTCTCTTACATTATGCCACTTATGCCCGTGCCAATTATATGCATTTGGTAAACATTATTATTTATTCTCTAAAATTTACTTGGGAAGTCTGGTGTTTGTGCAGTATTTGTTAGCACAGTGTGAAAATCATCTTGGCATCTGGTTTGAAACCTTTTGAAGAATACTTGAAACCTTGAATTCCAAAGATAAAATAATCCATTATTAAGTAATCATGTATCACTGCCATTTGGTATGTTTACTTTTCCCTGTTTGCTTAAAATTGGCACTGGGTAAAACAGCAGTATTATTTTGAAATTTGTGTTTCTGAACAAAGCTACCCAGCTTGTAATTCAACAACAGTAAATAAACTTGTTGGTATTTGCTTGATTTCATGTTCATTTGGAGTTACCACTGTTAAGTGTTGAGTTGTGATAATATAAGTGTATTTTAACTACTTTATATATATGTTCATTAACTGAATCTTCAGCAAAGGGATAGAAACCCTTGTTTATTTTGTATCTTTGCAGATCCACTATTATGAATAAACATTTTTGGTATTATGAAACATGATAAGATACTAATATTTTTATTGTGTAGCCAATCCAGAATATATCATAGTTTTTCTATGGAAGTGAAGAATAATGAAAAAGATTAAGAACAGTGTTCTGTACTTTAGGTGATTTTTATCAAAATGTTTATAGTTTGCAATACTACAGTAGAACCTACCTGGTTATGGCTGCAACATGCAGTCTTATTTGTGAGTAATTTTCCAAATTAAAATTATATGATATCAAAAGGGTTGGGTTTTTTCCTTTTATCTTTTATATAACATGAATCCCTGTCTCTTATACTAGAAATATATGAGATTAAAAATTAGAATTCCAGAAAACCTGTGGCATAACTCCGAGATCACTGATGGTTCAAATATTTTTCTTAAAAGTCTTTTTGGTATCACCTTGGTAATCAGGGAAAGACTGACAATAAGGGAAAAAACATAAAACAATTTTAGCTCGTCTGTATTCCATTCCATCCATATGTCAAGTTACATATGGTTAAGATTAGTTTCATCTCTAAACTTAAATCTAAAAATGAAATTTGTAGATCTGTTAGTTGCCAACTTGGTCCAGAGGGCTGTGCTAGTTCTCTCTTTCCCTAGTTTTTCCCCCTTCACTCTTCCTTCAAGAAACACATTCTTGTTGTAGGGAGGTCAGTATGTTTCCTTGGGAAAGTTGGTAAATTTTCATGAAGACTAAGTAGAAAGGAAGCTAAAATAGAACCTAAGTTAATTCACCAAAGCCAAAGTTTCAAACTGGCACCACAGTCTGCTAATACGATTTGTTTAGCACGCTACGTTAAAAATATTTGAATTCATTCCAAAAAATTAATTAGTTAATTAGGGTCTAAAATTCTGTAAATTTCACAGAGAAAATCTAGATCTTCGGGTTTTGGGGGGGTGGGAATGGGAATACACAACATTACTACCTTTCTCCTGTGGGAATAATCTGCTTGAATTTAGAAACTGCTTCCATTTTTAAAAACTGTTCACGTTGAACAGTTCTACCAGTCAGTAAACACCTGGTCTATTTCACTTATTAATGTTATCAGCCTAAATCTTACAGGCATTTGAATTTGCAACTCCTGCTCTAAAAGTATATACGTAGTCATTTTAGAGTTTGTTAAGCATGCTAGTAGGCTTAACATGTTTTCTCAGCTGTGACTTAAGGGTATGTTGAAGAGTATGTATTGCATTGTGCTATTTCTGTTTTAAATACTTAGTCACTTTTTGCAACATTTGACTTCTTGATTAGTAGTATAGTTTTTTAAAAATTGAAGTTGAAAGTAGAGGAAGGAAAAATTAGATCAATAGATTTTGTCTCTATATGTGGCAACAACATAAAATAATTTGAAAAAGAAATGTATGTATATAAAAGATTCTGTCTGTTTTATTTATCCTTTTTAATTAGTTGGGTTTGGAGGATTTGGGACAACATCTACAACAGCTGGTTCTGCATTCAGCTTTTCTGCTCCAGCTAACACAGGCACTACTGGTAAGAGGACATCGTACGCCATTTGTAGAAATGAATGAGCTAAGAGCTTGGTTTTTTGGTTAACTTATGCAATTTTAATTTTTCCTTCAAAGGACTCTTCGGTGGTACTCAGAACAAAGGGTTTGGATTTGGTACTGGTTTTGGCACAACAACTGGAAGTAGTACTGGTTTAGGTACTGGTTTGGGAACTGGACTGGGATTTGGAGGATTTAATACACAGCAGCAGCAACAGCAAACTAGTAAGTATAAGGGGCCTTTATCTTACTTTATATGACTTTATATATAAAACTAAGATATAGCTGACATCGAGTGCACTGTTCAAAGCACTTTAATGATACCTTTTTTTTTTTTTTTTTGAAAATTTATCAGTATGTTCCACAAGATTCCAAAAGCTACTTCTCATGTCAATATATAATAGCAACTGGGGAGAAGACTGATTAGCAGGATGAGGATTATAAAACTTCTGTGTTTAGTAACAGTCTATGTAAATTTTTGTTGCTAAAAGTAACACAAAAGTAAATCTGCATAAAAGTACAGCTTAATGAATTGTATATATAATAAGGTGAACACCCTTGGAACCAGTACCTAAGTCAGGAGGTGGCCCCTGGCCAACCACTTGAGAAGCCCTCTACATTGCCCTCCCAGTCATTTCCCAATCAGAGGAGCTATAGTCCTGTCTTTCATGGTGATCTGTTCTTTACTTTTCTTTACAGTTTTGTCACGTAAGTGTGCAAACAGTATCGTTTAGTTTTATGTGTCTTAAATCTGTGTAAGTTCCCCTGTTAGCCCTCCCCCCTTTTTTTCTTTTTCCTATTTGTTAAATCAGACCATTTTTCCTGTAGAGTTTTTCAAGTCAGGATTCTACTGGATTGCATTCCTGTGGTATAGTTTAACATATTTCGTTGTTTTCTGTGTTTTTTGTAAATTGGGTTGGATATAGGCACTTAGGTATGTTGATAGTTGTTTTTTGTTTGGTTTCAAGACTACTTTATGGATAGTGTTGTATTCCTTTTTTTTAATGTTTGTTTGTTTCAAGAGAGAGAGTGAGCAGGTGATGGCCAGAGAGAGATAGAGAATCCCAAGCAGGCTCCACACTGTCAGTGTGTAGGGCTCGATCCCACAACCATGAGATCATGACCTGAGAAAAACCAACAGTTGGATGCTTAAACCGACTGAGCCACCCAGGCACTCCAGTAGTGTTGTATACTTTATCAAGAGGTATATAATGTCTCTCTTTTTCATTGTATAAGCAGCAGCCATCTGTTAATTCATTAGGTATTGCAAAATGGTATTTATTCCAACCCTATGATTCCTTTTCCGTGTATTTGTTGGAATACTTTAATAACAAGAAACTTTTTCCACTATCTGGTTCATCCTTTCCCATATTTATTATTAGTTTTCAAAATAAAGAGTTGGTTCCCTATCATTCTCTAAAGGAAACCAATTAATTTTTCTTATAATGTTAGGAACTTAAATATTTCAGCTACCTATATTTGTATTTTTTAATCTGTTGCAGTTATTATCCTTATTGATGCTTAAATGTTGCATCTTTGGCCAAAGATGCAAGCCTCTTCAGACTGGCTCTCAAGTCCTTTGACACAACGTAGAATTAGTCTTTTATTTATTTGTTTTTTAAAGTTTATTTATTTATTTTGAGAGAGAATGGTGAGGAGGGGCAGAGAGAGGGAGAGAGAGTGAGAATCCCAAGCAGGCTCTCCACTGTCAGCACAGAGCCCAATGCGGGGCTTGAACCCATGAACCATGAGATCATGACCCGACCCAAGATCAAGAGTCGGATGCTTAACCGACTGAGCCACCCACGCGTCCCTAGAATTGGTTTTTGATAGCTTCCTTGCTATCTGGTATGGCAGTGTGTTCCAGGGTTCTCTTGTATGGGCTAATTTATTTAATTCTCACGAGAATCCTATGAAATGGTACTCGTGGTATTTCCATTTTATAGGTGAAGAGGGATTGTGACTTTTCCATATACCTCCCAGGAAGTAGTATAGAAACACGAATGTGAGTTTTTTGACTTCCTACGTAATGCTCTTTTCACTTTTCCAGTCTTCTACCTCTTAAATCACTTTTGCTTCACTTTTCTTAGGTAACTTGATTGATTGGCTAAAATTCATCCTACTAAACTTATTCAAGATTAGTAGTTATTAAACATAAATTTAAGGAATTGTGTAGCCAAAAGGACGAAGATAATAATAGTCTCAGAATTCTTTCTAGTATTCGAATCATTCCTCTTTTCTGTTATCTTCCTGCAAAAATAGAAAGTTTGTTGGAAATCCAAGTACTTTGGGAGAAGAAAGGGAAAGTGAAGTTTTTTCTTTTGAAATTTTCTTTAAAATAATATCTCTCCAACTATCTGTTACTGTAGTTAAACTTGCTTTGGTTAGGAAAAATGGGAAGTTGAATTTGGTGCTATTCATTTGTATAATGAAAGGGGCTTATTCAGTTATGTAGCAGCCACTTACTGACTGTATGTTTGTATGTCAGGCGTCGGGTATATAAGGTTGAAAGCCACAGTCCCTGCTTATAGTCTACAGGGAGGTAGAATAACGAACATTTAATTAGAATAATAAACTCCAAGTTATAAAAAATACACGTATGTTTGAAAGCACTAAAACAGACCCCTACAAGGTACTATGGAATACAGAGGAAGAGCTGAGTCTTGAAAGAATTAGTTGGATAAAGTCAGGAAAGGGTATTCCATGTAGAGGGGTAACTGACAGAAGCATCAGTGTATGGCATAGCATGATGAATTTGGGACCTGCTGTAAGGAGTTTTGAGCTTAATCTGCAAAGATTATGGAGCTGTTGCCTTACTTTTCAAACCCCCGCTTGTATGAGGTGCTTGCTGTCTGGCTGTTCCATCTGAGATGTGTTTAATTTCAGTTACCTGCTGACTTCCTGGACAGTACCTCTTATTCAATGAAAACTTTGGCAACTGGCTCTCAGTTTTGCTTTTCTTTTCAACTTCTGTCTGGGTTATTTAAACATCACATGGCTATATACTGATATAGCCATGCCATCTAACTTTTATTCCAGAGACTTCTTCCATTTCACTTAAACCATAATTTTTACCCTGGACCTTGGCAACATCTGAAAATGTTCAAAATCACTAATGTGAACATCCCACAACCTATTCTTTTAGCCTGCCTTTTTAACTACTTCCAGTGTAGCTATTCCTAGACCTCATTAGGACCTTTAGACAGTGACATTTTCGTTTAGACCATTTTTTATTCTTCCATCAGCTTCTTGTCTATACTCTCTAATTAGCTTAGATTCCATAGCCTGCCATTTCAGTCACTGATTGTCAGTATGCTAAACTTCTTCGTCATTGTATTATGTGCCTGAGGGGGAAAAAAATCCAAGCTGGTGTAAGCCCAACTGTCTGTCTAGATACTGCTTGAGAAAATCACATAATATAAAGGATTAAATAGTATCTCTAAATTCTTTTTTTTTTTTTTTAACATGTTATTTTATTTTTTGAGAAACAGAGAGACCATGAGCAAGGAAGGGACAGAAAGAGGGAGACACAGAATCCAAAGCAGGCTCTAGGCTATAAGCTGTCAGCACAGAGCCCGATGCGGGGCTTGAACCCATGAACGCAAGTTTGTGACCTGAGCTGAAGTCGGACGCTCAATGGACTGAGCCGCCCAGGCTCCCTGTTAATTTTTTTTTAATGTTTGTTTATTTTTGAGAGAAAGCGCAAGCAGGAGAGGGGCAGAGAGAGGAGATACAGAATCCCAAAGCAGGCTCCAGGCTCTGAGCTGTCAGCATAGAGCCCAATGTGGGACTAGAACTCAGGAACCATGAGATCATGATCTCTGCTGAAGTTGGACACTTAACCAACTGAGCCACCCAGGCGCCCCAGTACCACTAAATTCCTAATCGCTGACCTAAGTTGGGGCCTCAGCACTGCCTGGTAATTCTACGAAGTTTCTATTTTGTTTTTATGTTTATTTATTTTGAGACAGAGAGAGCACACACGCAAGCGGGGGAAAGACTAAGAGAGTCTGAGGCAGGCTCTGCATTGACAGCACAGAGCCCAACATGGAGCTCATCTCATCAACTATGAGATCATGACCTGAACCGAAATCCAGAGTCCAACATTAACCAACTGAGCCACTGACGCGCCCCAGATTGCTGAAGTGTTTTAAAGCAAATCCCAATACGTCCCCTCACTGTCACTTTACTATGCTTCTCTCTTTAAAAATATGGGCATCACTCCAACTTGCTATTAATAATTCCTTGGTATCCTCTAATACCTAGTTCTTAATCACATTTCCATTTATGTTTCATTGAAGTTTTCTTCAGCTGGTTTACTCAAATAGTGATCCAAACAAGGTCTCCACATTTATTTTCTTGTTGTGTCTCAAGTTTCTTTTTAGTATAGAGTGTTCCCTTGCTCCTTTTTACCCCCTTCATGAATTGTTGGAGAAACTGGGCCACTTGTCCTATGAAATGTGCCCCATTCTAGATTCGTATCCTTGTAGTATCATTTAACTTTATCCCCCACTTTTCTGGTTAATGAAGTTAGCTTTAGGTACTTTATATTCAAGTTTGACTTTTTGGCACAGATACTTTGCCAGTTGTGCTACGTGCTTCATACTATATCACATTGAAAGTTTTTTCCCTCTTTTGGTGATGCTAAGATTGATCTTTGGGTTCAGGTTGTGACAGCCAATCTGTCTTGTAAAGTTCCTCATCAGTCTTTAACCTAATGATTTCATTCATTGATGATCATTGCCTCAGTCAGTTATTTTATTAGGAGTTGCAAAATGGTGATCTCCCATTTCTGCCCTCCCTTCCACACTAAAATTCTTCTGTGAAACAAAGGTTTTCTCCCCCCAGGTGACTGACTGTTGGGTCACCCTGAAATAGAATTTGTATAGGAAGAGTAGGCTAAAAATTTTTTCTTTAATTTTTTTTATTTTAGAGAGAGAGTGTGAGCGGAGGGGAAGGGCAGAGGGAGAGTGGGGGAGAATCTTAAGCAGGCTACACGCTCAGTGCAGAGTCCAACACAGGGCTGTATCCCATGACCTGAACTGAAATCAAGAGTCAGATGTCCAGCTGACTGAGCCACCTAGGCGCCCCTAAAAATTCTTTTCAATTGACAGTTTTTATAAGAAGTTGTTGTTGGCCTGATTATTTCCAGTGGTGTCCAAGGAATTGAATTTTAAGTTTTTGATCTTTACTTTTAAAAACTGTAATTTTGAATGCATGAGTTTTCATAAATTGACTGTGCTTGAGTTGGTTGCATTCATTATTCTTTTTGATGCTCAGATTATCACAGTTTTGGTCAATATGAGCCCTTGAACGATACCCTGGTCTGTTATTTCTTACCTTATTGTTTAGTACTCCTTATTGCTTCCACTGGTTCATCTTCCCCCTCCTTTTTGCCAGAGGTTTGCACATGCTGTTCATCTTTGCCCCTACCTCATGGCTTGGCTGACTGCTTCCTTTAGGCCTTAGTGAAATTCTAATGGAGCAGTCTTCTCTTGTCTCCCTCCTCCCCCACCCGACCCGACTTGATTAGCTCCCTCATTCAGTACTCTCATAGCCTCTGTATTTCTCTAAGGAACTTACCACAATTGTAAATATTTGTTTGATGTGCTGAGTTTGTTTACCATTCTGTCCTTAGTATTTAGCTCTGTGTCTAACATTTAGGGGATACTCAGTAAATACTTGTTGAATGAGTGAATGAACGTATGTTATCAAAGATAAAACCAGAAGAGACTATGTATTGTGAGGAAATCTAAGGGAGAAGAGCATTTCCTAGGAGGATGTGTGTTCAGTGAAAGTTGAAGATTTTCTTTGGGAGCTAAAGGAACAATCTACAGCATGAGGACCCTGAGAAGGTAGAGAGGTATGAGAGGTCTAATAATGCTAAGGGGTTGAAAAGAATGTATTGAACTTTATAATTTGAGTTCCTAAGTGCCTTCCAGCAAGTGAACTCTGAGTAGACTAGTGTGGTTGTAATCTAGTGTGAAATGTAAAAAGGCAGCTAAATGAATCAGTACAGATCATAGTTTATCTCATTTAAAAGTTGAGGAGATTGGGGCGCCTGGGTGGCTCAGTCGGTTAAGCAGCCGACTTTGGCTCAGGTCATGATCTCATGGTCCGTGAGTTCGAGCCCCACGTCGGGCTCTGTGCTGACAGCTCAGAGCCTGGATCCTGTTTCAGATTCTGTGTCTCCCTCTCTCTGACCCTCCCCCGTTCATGCTCTGTCTCTCTCTGTCTCAAAAATAATAAATAAACATTAAAAAAAAAAAAAAGTTGAGATAAAACCTAGGAATTTCTTAGCCAAGGCTACAATAAATACAATAAATATTGAGCTTATAATACCAGGATTCAAGTCTTGTGGCTTCTAGTCCAGTTCTTTACAGTGTTTATATGTGCCCATTTGGGAATTTATACTATTCATCTAGGGGGGTAATAGTAGCCCCTCTCTAGCCCTGTAGAAGCCCCAGTGACCATATGGTACTTAAAATCTTTAGACCTGAAAGAAACTTAACTATCATCTAATATAGTGGCCCTAAAACTCAGATCATTTTGGTAATATTTTCATGATTTTTCTCTTACCTACTTACCATTTGTGTTATTAAGAATTTTCTTTAGGGGCATCTGGGTGGATAAGTTGATTAAGTGCCCGACTTCGACTCAGGTCATGATCTCATGGTTCGTGAGTTCGAGTCCCGTGTTGGGCTCGCTGCTGTCAGCACAGAGCCTGATGTAGGGCTCAAACTCACAAATTGTGAGATTATGACCTGAGCCTAAACCAAGAGTTGGATGCTCACCCAACTGAGCCACCCAGACTAGGTGCTCCTAGACTTGTTCTTTGATAGAAAGTGAGATAAGCAGATGTGAGGCATTAAAGGCATACTGGCACCCAACCTAGACTTTTTAAAATGTATTATGAGAACAGAGAAAGACAGATACCATACGTTTTCACTCTTACGTGGATCCTGAGAAACTTAACAGAAACCCATGAGGGAGGGAAAGGAAAAAAAAAAAAAAAGGTTAGAGAGGGAGAGAGCCAAAGCATAAGAGACTCTTAAAAACTGAGAACAAACTGAGGGTTGAAGGGAGGTGGGAGGGAGGGGAGGGTGGGTGATGGGTTTTGAGGAGGGCACCTTTTGGGATGAGCACTGGGTGTTGTATGGAAACCAATTTGACAATAAATTTCATATATTGAAAAATTAATAAATAAAAACAAGGAAAAGTAAATATAGGGCAAGCAACAATCTTTGCCACATCTAGTGCCTAGTGGTGAGCATATTACGGACACTCAATAAATTCTTCTTGATTGATTAAAAAAAATAAATAAAATGTATTATGAGATAATTAAAAGATATTTTTTTGTTAGGTGAATTAGTCCATTTAGTGACTCAGCTGTTGCCTGATAGCTATAATTTCATGTTCTGGGGATATTTGTCTCCTACTTTGGAAATATTGATCTGATCTAACAACTTCACCCATTTTGTTGGAGAAATTGTAGCCCAGAGAGGTTAAGTGACTTACCCAAAGCTATACAACCTGCTAAAGCTTTAAAAAAAAAAATTTTTTTTTTTTAAGTTTTTTAATTTATTCTGAGAGAGAGCACATGAGCAGGGGAGTGACAGAGGAGACGGGAGAGAGAGAATCCCAAGCAGGCCCCGCACTGACAGTGCATAGCCTGATATGGAGCTCAAACTCACAAACCCGTGAGATCTTGACCTGAGCCGAGATCAAGACTCGGACAGTTAACCAACCAACTGAGCCACCCAGGCGCCCCATGACCTGTTAAAGCTTTTAGTTTAGAATCTTGATGATTAGTTCATTTGTTCTTTTTGTTATATATTTCTTTGTTATGAGAGAAGGAAAAGTGATTATTAAGTTGATACTGATAAAACACTGATATAATGATTCTTGCTGCTTGTTTCCTCCAATTTGTGTTTATTATACACATTTAATAGCAATAAAGGTTTAAAAAACAATTCCACAACTTCACAAACTTTTACTTTTCCATTTCATATCCGTATGCATTCTTTCTTTTTTCTTTTTTTTTTTTTTTTTTTTTTTTTTTTTTTTTTTTTTTTTTTTTTTTTTGGTGTGGGTCTTATATGGATCCACCTTGTATACTGGTAATGGAATTACTTGTATGAAGAAGATAATCATTAGAAAAGTAAGTTAACATTGTAAGGATTGTCCTAGTATATTAGTTTCCTGATGTTGCCATAACAAAGTATCACAGACTTAGTGGCTTAAAACAACACAGTTCACAGTTCTAGAGATCAGAGATTGAGAAATGGGTTTCATTGGCCTAAAATCAAGGTGGTGGTAAGGCAATTTATGTACATAAACCCTGTGTTACTTCTTCAGGCTCCAGGGGAGTATCCATCCCCTTGCCTTGTCCAGCTTCTAGTCTTTCTCTCCATTTCTTGGCTTATAGTCCCTTCCTCCATCTTCAGACCTCACTTTGACTCTGACCTCACACTTCCCTCTTTAGAACCTTCATGATTGTGTTGAGCCCACTCTGATAATCTGGGATAATCTCAACTCAGTCTCTAAATTTAATCACATCTGCAAAGTTTCTTTTGCTGTGTAAGGTAACATAGGTTCTGGGGATTAGGATGTGGACATTGTGGGAGTGGGGGAGGTTGTGGGGGGTATTATTCTGCCTACCATATCTAGGTTCTGAATTGATTTTTTCTCTTGAAATACTAATTATGGGGTACACTTTTAGCATTAGGTGGTCTCTTCAGTCAGCCTACACAAGCTCCTACCCAGTCCAACCAACTGATAAATACTGCAAGTGCTCTTTCTGCTCCAACACTGTTGGGAGATGAGAGGGATGCTATTTTGGCAAAATGGAATCAGCTGCAGGCCTTTTGGGGAACAGGAAAAGGATATTTCAACAACAACATTCCACCAGTGGAATTCACACAAGAAAATCCCTTTTGCCGATTTAAGGTATTAGTACTTCTTTTGATCCTTACTTGAAGAGTGTGTGTAAGAGAATGTAGTGTTTGGATTAAAATAATACCAAGAAAACAATTGCTTGGTTTTTAGCACTCCTTGAACACGGTACAGTTATGCTTTTGCTTTAAAAATATAGAAGTTATTAAAATGAAGTGATTTCTTACATATATGTGATTGAAGGTGACCAGAATATGACTGAAGGAAGATGTGATTAGAATATAACTTAAAACTGAGGAAAAAGTGTTAACAGAAGGGGAGTGGTCTGCTTGGCATCTATAAAGGGGAGACCCAAAATTAGAATTTAGTGGTATTCATCCAACACTGTCCAGGAAAGTACACCCTAACCAGCAGACAGAAGTAGATGTTCTGTTTGGCATGTATAATTCTCTTGGCACTATTACAGCTGGATGCTAAAGCCATTGAAACAGTGTAGTCTATTTTCTTTCTGATTCCTTGCCTACCAAACAACCTTTTCATTTGAATTTAACTTCTCAGAGATTCTGTTTCATCAGCTAGTGAGAGTATTTAGGTCAACTTGATGGTGTATTTTTCATAACAAATTAATGTATTGCAATCCAGTTTATACTTCAGCCACTTTGACAAAAAACCAAACAAACCCACTTTTTGCTGCTTATGTCAATCACTAATCAATATGTACATAAGCCCTTGTTTGGAGCTGCAAGGCTGAGGATCAGACCCTTTGAACATGGTTAAACAACAAAAAGTGACTAGCATACCTTATTAAAGAACATCTCTTTATCTTATCACTTTAACAAAAAGTTTTTGAGTGTTTATAGTTGAAATTTTAATACTTTAGTGAGAGCTATACAGTGGACATTTTTTTAAATCTGATGTATAACATACATACAGTAAAATGCAAACTAGTGTAGAATGAATATAAATTAAAAAAAATTTTTTTTAGTGTTTATTTTTATTTTTGAGAGAGAGAGCATGAGCAAGGGAGGGGCAGATAGAGAGGGAGAAACAGAATCCGAAGCAGGCTCCAGGCTCCAAGCTGCCAGCACAGACCCTAACGTGGGGCACGAACCCGTGAACCTCGAGAACATGACCTGAGCCGAAGTCAGATGCTTAACCAACTGAGCCCCATTTTTAAATTATTTTTTTAGAGTTGCATAAGTGGTGACCAAAGAGAAGACTTCTATCTAAAAGAGTGCTTAGAAAGCCATGGTTTGTCATATTTAATATTATATTAAAAACTAACATGCCTCATAAAGTTTTGTGTTACATGAAACTATAAAATGAGGTAGATAGTCCTTATAATATTTTTAAATTTGACAGTGTTATTCTACTTTAGAAGTATTTATATTCAGTAAGTCATTTTTTTATATATCTAAAACTTAGTTTAAGATCCTGTAAGTATATAGTAAAATAAATTAGATCTTGGTCCATGACTTTTGCAGTTACTTTTACAGTTACATGCAGAATTGTTTCATCAGAGTTCAGAAACACCCAACGATAACAAATACCAAAGTTTTTCAGAGGAGAAAGCTATTTGGTTACTCTGTTGGGAGAGGAAATTTAAATTTCACTTTAAGTTTATATTTTTGGTTAAAATAGTTTCTTTTCATAATTGTGTGATGCTATAGGGCACAGAGTGGTGGGAAGAATCATTATTTCCTTCTTTAGCAGACATTGAGCTGTTTTCCTTGTTTAGGCAGATATTTAAGATACTAAACTTCTGATTTAAAATCTACATATTTTTGATATTGTTTATTTTGTCATTCTACAGGCAGTAGGTTATAGTTGTATGCCCAATAATAAAGACGAAGATGGGCTAGTGGTTTTAGTTTTCAACAAAAAAGAAACAGATATTCGAAGCCAGCAACAGCAGTTGGTAGAATCATTGCATAAAGTTTTGGGAGGAAACCAGACCCTTACTGTAAATGTAGAGGGTATTAAAACACTGCCAGATGATCAGTAAGTATACATTAAATGTACTGTTTATTTCTGTGTGCCTGGGTCCAGAAAGAGTGATCAACAGTGTTTTTGTTGATAAAACGCAAATTAAATCTTAGAGCAGAATGTTATTTCTCAGCTAGTGACCATTCAGTATTGACAGCAACATTTGTTTAAAAACTTTTTTCTTAATCTTGGAGTTCTTAACCCACAGGATGCTAATAATTCCTTAGATTTTCCATTCAGAAACAGGAAGAAACATTAATCATGGCTGTATGCCAACAAAGATGTTACTGGAAAGTGTGATTACTATTCATGTCCATTCATGGCTAAATATGACTGACTTCCCTTCCCTTTTCTTCTATATAATTTTCATACTTAGTGGCGAAAACATTTACTTGAGGATATTTTGGGTTAGAAGAATTATTATCAGTGAGATATAATAACTGAGATCAGATAAGCTTCAACAGAATCTCCTAAGTACTTCTCAATTCTGGAAGATATAGGACTTTGCAGCTAAGCAAACCTTTTACAAATATATGTCTGTCTCATTTTAACTTTATCATTTAGGTTGATTTAGAGGTGAACTTGTGAAGTAAGGGTTCTTTATTTTCCAAGATTTAAGAAAATGCTATTTTAATTCTCTTGTAAAACAACGATCTTTGAATTCATGTAGCACCTTTCTAAAATCACATGCTGTAGTGATATTTGGAGCTATGAGTTGTGTGCTGTTTTATAACTTAATTATTTTTCCTCCAGGACGGAAGTTGTCATTTATGTTGTTGAGCGTTCTCCAAATGGTACTTCAAGAAGAGTTCCAGCTACAACACTATATGCCCATTTTGAACAAACTAATATAAAAACACAGTTGCAGCAACTTGGTGTAACCCTTTCTATGACTAGAACAGAACTTTCTCCAGCACAGATCAAACAACTTTTACAGAATCCTCCTGCTGGTATGTTTTAGAATCACAAGAGTTGAGGAAATGATAGATTTAGAAATATATATGCTTCCTCTATTTTGGGCGATAGTAGTTGATTATTAATAAAATCAGTGTGTATCATGTCTGCTATTTTGGGACATAGTTTTGAATGTTTTCATTGTACTAATTCATTGTCGGTTAGCTTTTTTTTTTTTTTTATCATGGTTAATGTGTTTGTTAGAAATTTTGGGAAATGTTGAACTAAAGAAAAATAGTCCATAAGCTACCCAAAGGTAATTCACTTTTAATATTTTTATTTTTTTCTAGCTTATTTGTTGTTCTGAGTATTCAAGTAAAATATGTGTTCTCACCATAAAAGATAGTAGATAGCATAACTAAATTGAGTATATGGCCTATATGACAGATCCTCTTTATCTCCTTTCCACAGAAACAGCTACTATTAATAATTTGTTGTACATGTGTATGTACATGGAAGTGCTAAAAAAAAAAAAAAGGGATTCTGCACTGTACATTTACTGCAACTTGCCTTTTCAGTTACAGTATTTCTTAGCACTTTCCATGTTAGTACATGAAAATATTCTTTTTAAAATCCACATGGAATACCACGGATGTACCGTACTTCACTTCTAAGTCATTTCCACCTTTTTTTATGATATTAACATCCTTGTAAATATGTCTTAGAACATGTGGATCTGTATTTTTTTTAGAATAGATCCCTGGTAATGAAATTTTTGAGTCAAGATTGTGTATATTTTATGTATTGTTAGATACAAATTGCTCTTCAAACAAAGTTGTACACATTATAACACAAAGGTGTTTCTTCTCATTTTTCATTTTTCTAATATTTTCTCATTTTTATTTATTTTTGCCTACAGTGGAGGTTGTCAGTCTTTTTAATTTTGCCACTCTGATTGGAAAAACTTAATACTTACTTTGATTTGTATTTCCCTGATACAGTAAAATTAAAGCTAAATAAAATTGATTACTAAGTAACAAAGTATGTTTTACTAAGTAAAACATCTTTTTGTATGTTTATTAGCCACATGTTTGTATCTTTTATGAATTACCTATTCATGTCCTTTACCCATTTTTTTTTATGTTTATTTTGAGAGAGTGAGCATGTGTGCAAGTGGGGAATGGGCAGAGAGAGGGGGAGAAAGAGAATCCCAAACAGGCTCCCACTCATAGCCTGGAGCCCACTGTGGGGCTCAATCCCACCAACCATAAGATCATGACCTGAGCTAAAATCAAGAGTTGTACGCTCAACTGACTGAGCCACCTGGACAACCCTGCCCATTTTCTGTTAGATGTTTTTGTCTTCCTTTCTGATTTATAGGAACTCTTTCTATATTCTGGAGGGTAATCTATTTTCCTATAGGTTGTAGGTATTTTCTTTCAATCTATAATATTTTTTTAAGCTTTATCCTACAAATATTTTCATTTTTGTAATGGTTATATTTGAGAGTCATTTTTTATCACAGCTTTTGAGTTTTTTGTCTTACTTTTAGGAAGGCCTTTCCCATACAAATATGAAAATGGAGAATAGTTTTTATTTTTTTGATTTTGGTTTTGTGTTTTTGGTTTTTTTGTTTGTTTTGTTTTGTTTTTCCAGAAAAAAATATTTGTCTTTTTGGTAGGTGTTGATCCTATTATTTGGGAACAAGCCAAGGTGGATAACCCTGATTCTGAAAAGTAAGTATATCTTCATCTTGTTTTCATATAAAAACTAATATTTGCTACTAGGGAAGCCAACAGATACCAACTATTAATTACAATTCTTACCTTTGAGTTGAATTTCAGTTTCATTGCTTTTTAAAGAATGTTCACTGGTAAGGCAGTGAAGTGTAGTGTAAACATTGAAATCTGAGTACCAGTCCCCTAATTATACTTGCTTTTAAAAATACAACTTCTGACCGAACTTTATTTCCTCATTTGTAAAATAAAATAAGGAGGAGGTTGAATAAAATCATTGTGATTTAACATGATTGATTTCATAGTCCTTGATCTGCCTTTGAACCCTAGAAATGTACTGTTAAATTATGTGGATGTTATTATGAAAACCCTAATTTCTTATACTTTGTAATAACAGTAAAAGGCTTAAGGTATGAAAATTAACCAGTTGGATTTCTTCAGGTTAATTCCGGTACCCATGGTGGGTTTCAAAGAACTTCTTCGAAGACTGAAGGTTCAAGATCAGATGACTAAGCAACATCAGACCAGATTAGATGTAAGCATTTAGCTTCATTCTCTGCTTCTAGGAGTAGTAAAAGAGATTATAGACACTTCTTTTTACCATGCAAATTACCATTTTGTTTTACAGGGAAACAATATAGTTAGTGTACACTGTAAGTTAACAATTATAGTTTTGTGCAAGTACTTAATATAGAGCCTCCAAAATATGTAAATCTTATTTGATACATTTTAACAATGAATTTAGAATTGTTAGCATTGCTATTAGTTTGTAATTTCCATTTTGAGCCTGAGAATGCATACTTTCTTAATTAAACAATTATATTTATGAGGCCTTACCAAAGTGAAGGCTACAGTTATGATTCTTTATGTTGGTGTAGTATAATTGTAGATTGATGAAGCAAATTTAAATTACTGAATGCTTAAATCTACTTAATGTTTTATTAAGGAGACCTAGTAATCAAATACTCAAAAGTTCTTGAGGGTTACCTCCACATTCTCGTATGTGGAAATCCTGATAACATATTCACTCAGACTGAATAGTGAAAAGCTTCCTGCTTTATGAAGCAACCCATTTCACTGTCAGCTAGCTCTGATAAAAATTCTCTTTCTTACATTGATCTAGTATCTGCCTTGGTATAATTTATACCCTTTTTCCCTGGCATTGCTTTGTAAGCGATAGCTGTGCTTCCTGTGATAGCACTGTAGATATTTGAACATTGTTCTTTTGAACAATTCTTCTTTTTTAGTATTCCCTTCTCTGGCATGTAAATTCAAGCATGTTTTTTGTTTGTTTTGTTTTTTAAGTTTATTCTGAGAGAGAAGGAGAGAGAGAGACAAAGTGAGTGGGAGGGGCAGGGAGAGGAAGAGAGAGAGAATCCAAAGCAGGCTGTGCATTGACAGTCCCAGTGTGGGGCTTGAACTCCCGAACCGTGAGATCATGACTTGAATTGAAACCAAGAGTTGGACGCTTAACTGACTGACCCACCTAGGTGCCCCCAAGTCGTTTTTCATGTGACATGATTTCCAGCGCCTTCATCATCTTAGGCTGGACACACTGAATTTATTCCCATCACTTTTAAAATGAGTTACAGTAGTACTACCAATAGGGTTTGGCCAAAGTTCTTCAAAGTAAGACCACAGAAGCTATTACTTGCCTTTAGTTTTGTCAGTCTTGGTAGAGGTTTGTCAATTTTATTGATCTTAGTAAAGAACCAAGTTTTTGGTTTCATTGATTTTTTTTTCTGTAGTATTGTTAGTAATTTCATTAATCTCTGCTTTTAACCATTTCCTTCATTCTGCTTGCTTTGGGTTTTTCTCTTTTTCTAACAAGACCTTTCCTTTCTAATATAGCACTTTAATGCTGTTAATTTCCTTCTAAGCACTGCTTTACCTCAATCGCGCAAATTTTGATAATGTTATAGTTTAATCTCCGATGCATTAAAGATATTTTCTAATTTGTGGAATTAGAACTTAGAATTGTGGAACAGAACTCCACACTTGTGGGAGTTCTGTTTGACTGTTGGATCTTTTTGACTAATAGATTATTTTAGAAGTATGTTTCATTTCCACATCTTTGGAAATTTTCCTTTTACTCTCATTGATTTCTAGTCTAGTTAGTTCTATTATTGTCAGAGAACTTTGTATGATTTCAATTTTTTTAAGGTGTTTAACCCACATGCCTTTGAATAGAATGTGCATTCTGCTGTTCTGGGTGAAGTTTTCTGTTAGTGTCAGTGAGATCCAGTTGGTTAATTCTTCAGTTCTACTATATTGATTTTTCTGTTTAGTAGTTCTATTGTGAGGGTTGAAGTCTCGAGCTAGAATTGTGAGTTTTGTCCTTTGCTCCTTTCAATTCTTTAAGTGATTGCTCTTGGGCCTTTCTCAGTGGATGGAAGGTGGGGTACTGGTGTTGGTGCTTTATCCCCCGGGGCACATTTGGCAATGTCTGGAGACTTCTTTGGTTGTTAGAACTGGGTGAGTGCTATAGGCATCTACTGAGATGAGGCGAGGGTGCTGATAAACATCCTACTGTGTACAGAACAGTGCCTCTGCGACAGATATCTGGCCCAAATCAATACAGTGGTTCCCCGCTTAACCGCCATCTGGAAGCAGATGATCGTCCTGGATGAATCATCGGGTCAGTAGTAGCCTAATGCTGTGTCACAATGCCTGTGTCATTCACTTCACTTCATCTCATCAAGTAGGCATTTTATCATCTCACATCATAAGAACAGTAGTGCAGAACAATATTTTGAGAGACCACATTCATGTAACTTATTCCAGTAGATTGTTATAATTGTTCCATTTTATTGTTAATCTCTTACTGTGCCTAATTTATAAATTAAGCTTTATCAAATATGTGTATGTATAGGAAGAAACATCCTATATATAGGATCTGGTACCATCCATGGTGTTAGGCATGGGGGTTGTGTGGATGAGGGGTACTGCTATAGTACTGGAGCTGAGCAAACCTCTAGATATTACAGTGTGTCTCCTCCATCAGAACTAAAAGGCTTTTCTTGGAGTTGTCAGCATTATGCTCACTTCTCAGTTTTGGGCTTTGTTGAAACCTGTGGGGTGTGCCAGAATTGGGGGAAATGGTAAACTCACCACCAGTTCAGTGGTACTTCAGTTCATGTCTCCTTCCCCAATCCTCCTGCCACTATTTATTTTTCAAATAGTTGCCCGTGCAGTCTAAGTTTTATAGCTATATTCAGTAGGTGAGATAAGAGTGGCATATACTAAAGTCCATCTTGTCCAGAATCAAAATTTTTCCTATCTTGGGGTACCTAGGGGGCTCAGTCAGTTAGGCTTCCGACTCCTGATCTCAGCTCAGATCTTGATTATGAGGGTCATGAATTCAAGCCCCACGTTGGGCTCCACACCAGGTGTGGAACCTACTTTAAAAAACATTGTTGGGGGACGCCTGGGTGGTTCAGTAGGTTATGAGATCAGGTTATGATCTCATACTTCAGGAGTTCGAGCCCTACATCGGGCTCTGTGCTGACAGCCTGGAGCCTGCTTCACATTCTCTGTCTCCCTCTGCCCCTCCCTGGCTTGTGCACTCTCCCTCTCATAAAAATAAACATTAAGAAAAAGTTATTCCTATCTTTTCCTAGTTTTTATGTTGGATTTATCTTTTCTTTACTGAATTTCAGGAGTTCACTGTTTACTCTAGATTTTAATCCCTAGTCTGATTTAAATGGTACAGATGTCTCCTACTTCTCACCTTTCTGCCAACTCTGCTTTTTGGTGTCCTCAGTTGAACAGAAATCCTTAATTTTAACATAACAATACCCACTAGTTTCTTGCCTTGTGTTTTTCTTCTTGGGATTTTGCTCAAGAAGTCATTCTTCAATCCAAGGTCTGAGAGTCTCCTACATTATTTTTCTGACATTTTATTTAGAATTTAACCTTCCACATTGGGGTCTTCTGTCTTCATGGAGTTTGACTTTGTACAATAAGTGGTATGAACCCAACTTTATTTTTCTCTAGTGGGTCAAGTTTGCCAATGTCATCCATAAATAATATCCAGTGTTATTTTACCCAGTGATTTATCAAAGCAAATTTATCCAACCAAATTCCCATATATGTATATGTTATCTATTCTGTTCTTAAGTCAGTTTTACCTTTTTTTCTTTTTTTTACGTTGTGGCTTTGTAGTGTATCTCAATGTGTGGTAGAGTGAATCTCTGATCTTTGTTCTTTTCAGAGTTGTTTCATCTTTATGGATCTTTACTGTTCTATAACAGTCTCAGAATCTATTTGTCAAAATGCTAGAATTTTAGTTGGAACTGCATTAAACATATTTGTAGAGAATTGAATCTTAATAAATTATTCCATTATGAACACACTATGTTCTTTTACTCACTGAGGTCTTTACTCATTGAGGTAGTCTTTTGAAACAGTTTAAAAAACTTTTTTCTTGAGGTGGGGGGAAGGAACAGAGAGGTAGAGAGAGCATCTTAAGCTGGCGCCATGCCCAGCACAGATGCAGGGCTCAGTCTCACAACTCTGAGATAATGACCTGAGCCAAAACAGAGTCAGATGCTTAAGTGGCTGAGCCACCCAGGTGCCCCTTAAATATTTTCTTTAAAAACCTTGTGCCTTCTGGGGCACCTGGGTGGCTTACTCAGTTAAGCTTCAACTCTTAATCTTGGCTCAGGCCATGATCTCACAATTCATGCTTTCGAGCCCCACACCAGGTTCTGCACTGACAGCATGGAACCTGCTTGGAATTCTGTCTCTCTCAAAATAAATAAACTTTAAATAAAGAACTAATAATTTTAAAAACCCTATGCCTTCTTTCTTGGGTTAACTCCTTAGATTGTTTTAGTGTTTGTGAATAAATACTAAATGGCAACCATTTCTACTTTTCTTAGTTATTGTTGGTTGAGAAGACCACTATATTATTCTTGCATCTGGAAGCCTGTCAACTTTTTAAAACTGGAGTGGAGAAAGTGCCTAGGTTATGTAATATAAAACATGGCCACCTAATTTTGTTCCTTCAGCATGACCTGTCACTGGAAAGTTCCCTTAAAAGGCAGTGGACTAAATGTCTTGCACAATCTTCTTACCCTCTTTTCTTATAACATCTCAAGGCAGTGCCACAGAATGATTATGATAGGAACGGTTTTGGGATTCAGGTTGGGTAGCTTTAATGAAATGAGTTTTTAACTCTGTCTGTAAGGTTAAGACTTCTGTTAAGGCAGAACAGTAACGATATCAGGCCAAAGAGCAAATCCATGATGCCAAGGCATAAAAATGTATTAGGTTGTATAATAAATATCCTTCCTTTCCCCTCCACTTTGATCACTCTCTCTAAAATATTCAGCACTTAATACTGGACTATACTGTACTTTTCAGATTGTCTGTTAAGGCCACTCCTGGATGTGACTTCATAGATACTTTTTCCATTCAGGGCCTGGTTGTTGGTCCTATACCTTAATATTTTTAAAGTATAGGTTTTATTTTTCTATACACTTTGCCTCATCACTAAATTTCCTAGAGCTCTTAAGAAGCCTTTGAATGGTACTTTTTAATTTTATGGGTGCATAGATGGGAAGAACTATAAAGACAGATGTAGAGGTGTTTATATTTTGAAAGATGAATCTCCGTCTCATCTTAGAATCAAATTTTGCATATAAACCTGATAAATATTTGTGATGTTTATACTCACCTTCAAAACTTTCTTTTGAAAAACAGATCATATCTGAAGATATTAGCGAATTACAGAAGAATCAAACCACAACTATGGCCAAAATTGCACAATACAAGAGGAAACTCATGGACCTTTCCCATAGAACTTTACAGGTAGTAATTTGGAATTTTTTTGAACATCTGTAAGATTATATGTGTGATAGTGCCGGATAGAGAAAAACACACTGAAAGGAAGGAATAGTAATTTGAAACTGTAAGTACCAAACTTTCTCAGTGAAATCTAGAAGTCAGATGAGAGGTCTCATAGGAGTGGGTGAAGAAAGTAAATGTATTCTAAAATTCACATCTTATTGAGAGGGTAGAAGCAGTGAAGAAGTAAATCATCTTGGAGCACAGAAAGCATGTATCTAGTTCTCATAAAAGTAAAAGAAAAATACTTGATTTTCAGTGCTAGAAAAGGGAGTATAACAATGAAACGGCCAGATGAAAAAACAACAGTGGAACTTCAAAATTAACAAGAGGGAGTAAAAGCATGAATAGCAACAAAAACTGAAATTTTAAACTATCATGAAAACAGAAACGTTAGGTACCAGAATCAATTGAATATATCAAGAGCTGTATGCAGAATAAAATTTGTAGCATTTGAGCTTTCACTTAAAAAAATTGTTTTTAAATGTTTATCCACTTTTTGAGAGAGGTGGAGACCGAGCATAAGTGGGGGAAGGGCAGAGAGAGAGGGAGACACAGAATCAGAAATAGGTTCCAGGCTCTGAGCTGTCGGCACACGGCCTGATGTGGGGCTTGAACCCATGAACTGCGAGATTATGACCTGAGCCTGAGCTGAAGTCGGACACTTAGTTATCATCCTTAAAATACAAACGCAAAGAATAAGGATCTGGTACTTATCTTAAGAAGTTAGAAAGACTCTCAAGAGAAGCCAGTGAGAGAGAAATACAGATATGAAATAAGTGAAATAAAATTAATCATAGTACAGAGAATAAATCGAAAGCTGTTTCTTTGAAAAGATCTTTGAAATGGCTAAACATCTCATAAGGAAAAGGAGAAAGGAAACATTACTACAGACAACAGAACAGAATGAGAAAATACTGCATGCAATTCAGGGCAACAAATTTGGGAGCTAGACAAAACAGATTAATTTTGGTGATTTCAATTTTGCTAAAAAATCATCTACATAGGTGCAAAAATCTTAAATGGACAAATATATAAATGAGAAACTTCTTAAAGATCAACCATGGAAAAATACCAAGGCCAGATGTTTAACTGCTTAACTTTGTCTAACCACTAAAGAGCTAATTCCTTTAGACAAAAGGAAAAATCTATAGACCATTTCCCCATTTAAAATCACTTTGAGATATAATTCACCCACCATACATTTCAGTGTATATAGTTCATTTATTTAAAGTGTTAAGTTAGTGGTTTTTAGTATATTTAGTCTGTGCAACATTGCCACAGTCAATTTTATGACATTTTCCTCACCCTAAAAAGAAACTTCATTCCTATTAGCAGTCACTCCCCATTTCATCCCAAAACCCTGTCCAAGCAACCACTTTCTGTCTCTGTGGATGTGCCTATCCTGGACACTTCAGATAAATGGCATCAACAGATGTGGTCTTTTGTGACTGGCTTCTTTCATGTAGCGTAGTATTTTTAAGGTTCATCTGTGTTGTAGCATGTAGTATTACTTCCTTTTTATTGCTGAATAATATTCCATTACATGAAAATACCAATATTCATCAATTCATTAACATTTTGGTTGTCTCCCCCGTTTGGTTATTAACATATGTTGCTATTAACATTTGTGTACAAATATTTGCGTGGACGTGTGTTTTCATTTTTCTTGGGTACCTAAATCTAGGATTGGAATTGCTTGGTCGTATGGTAACTCTGTTTAACTTTTGGAAGAATTGCTGAAAACTTTTCCAGAGCAGCTGTGCTACTTTACATCTCTGCTTCTGGTACCCCCAAATAAAATCTATTCATGTACATTTCTAATAAATAGAGATGCAGGTTATGCTAAGCGAAAGAAGCCAGATTTCAAGGCTACAAAAGGCATGATTCCATTTATATGATGTTATGCAAAAAGCAAAACGAGAGACAGGTAACAAGTCAGTAGTTGCCAGGGGTGGGCAGGTAATAAAGGGAGAGCAGTGACAACAAGGAGTAGATGGAAACGTTCTGTACCTTGATTGTGGTGATGGTAACAAGACTTTGTCAAAATTCATAGTAACCGAGCACCTAAAATGGGTGATTTTCTTACATGTGGACTACACCTCAATAAATGTGATCAAAAGCAACATAAATGCAAAAAGGATCCAACTATTTATCAAATCCTAAAGGAATATACTGTGATGAAGTAAGGTTTATTTCAGGAATGCAGGGTTGGTTTTATAACAGGAAATCTATCATAAAGGAAA